TATAAAATTTTAGTATTATAAAACTCTTTTAAAATTTTAGTAGGAGAATTGTTTTATTTTGATAGGGGACTTATCTTATAAATATCTATGTAATCCCCACTATTTTTATAAGAGAGATTATGAATAAAAATTGAATATTCTCTACGAAAATTTGTGTGTTTTCTTGCGAGGATAAGGTAAATCTCTTCCACCCCCTTCTTTTTTCTTCTCTTTCTATTCTTTGATTTCTAGTCCTACATCAGTTTATGTCAACCTATGCATAACCAATGGTTGTGGGTGATGGTTGGACATCATTGTCAATGTGGTGATGGATTCCTGTTGCTGCGTCGTGCTTTAATCGATATTGTTTTGTGTTTGTTTAGTCCTCAAAAGGCATTGTTGATTATGTTGTGGTGGTCGCCAATGATCTGGTGTGAGTCATTTTCACTGCTGGAATAGACTGTTGAGTGCTGTCAATAGCTAGGGTTCTCTTGAACTCGTCAATTAGAAGTAGTTTGAAAAGGATCTGGGTTGACCCGTCGGCTTATAAAACATAACTAGGTCAATGGCTCAATTAATTGACACAGCCTAATCTTTGTTTGGGTCCAACATAGGCCCACTGTTCAGCCTAGCCCAAGCCCATTGGTTCAAACCTTCCAGCCTGAGCCTATTTGGTTCAGCTTAGCCCAAGTGAGGCCAGCCCAGACTAGTTCATACAGGCTTGGTTTAGTTCACCCGGTTCAATCCGATTCAAGTCTGTTTAGTCCGGTTCAGCATCTTTTACCACCAGTTCATTCTGGTCCTGTGGTTTTCCAGGTGATTTCGTTGCATCCGAGAATTTTCGTCCAGTTCAGCGGCTTTTAACGACCGATTCAGAGGTTTTCTATCTGATTTCGCTTACTTTGTCACTGGTTTAGTCCTCCGTTTAGCAGATCTGTGTTGGTTCAAGCTCCTAGTCTGGTTCTCTCTATTTTTTTAGCCTCGGGTTCTCTTATCTTCAACTAGTTTCACACTGTTCATGTAACTATTTTGCATTATTTAATCTACTTTTCGTTGGTTTGTCTCAAAATCTATGGTATCACTATGAAGCCCAAGACTAATACTCCACTTCCTAGCCCAAATCTTGCCACCCACACTTTCCCCAGCTGCCCTTCTTAATGTTCCCACTACTTTTGTCAAGTTCAATAGGATTTATTATGTTTTATGAACATATGGTCGCGATCTGTGCAAGTCTTTATTAAAGGCAAATGTCTTAAAAAGTATTTGGTGGGAGAGAAACCCGATGACATTGACCCTGGATTCGACAAGTGGGAACAAGAAGATGCATAGATTATTTCATTATTGTTAAATAACATTGAACCTCGTTTCACCTGGCAATGATGTATTCTAACACTGATAATTTGGGAATAATACTCGTACTTATGAGGTATACAAATAATATTTTTGCTTTGAGCAGGGTACTTTGAGTTGAGAAGACTATTATTCCCAAATTATGGAAATTTGTGAGAAATTCAGGATTTACCACCTATTCATTGTTAATGCAGAGACTGCGTGAGAATTTAGATGTTGTTCGCTTCTTTATTGGTTTGAAGCCTGAGTATGAACCTATTCGTGCCTAGATCTTAGGTGGTCCCAGTCGTCCATCTCTTCCGGATGTCTTTTTACGGCTTGCTATTTTGTCTGAGGACCATTCTAATGTATGGAGTCAGGTAAAGAATATTTTATCTAATAAATTTTCTTACTTTGTGTCATTTATGGATAATTATTCCCACGTGACTTGGTTATTTCTTATGAAAGCTCCTTCTGAATTATTTTCTATATTTAAAACATTCTATAAGAAAATCAAAACCCAGTATAGTTGTCGTATTTGTATTAGGATAATGGTTGTGAATATGACTCTGACCCCTTTTCTACTTATCTTCGTAAAACTAGCATTATTCATCAAACTTCATGTGTCCACACACCCCAACAAAATAGAGTGAATGAGCATAAAAATTGTATCTATTGGAAGTGACTCACGCACTTTTATTTCACATGCATGTTTCTCGATGTTTTTGAAATGATGCTATTTTTATTGCTTGTCATCTCTTTAATTGTATGCCCTCGTTTATGTTAAATAGGCACAGTCCCTATTCTGTCTTTTTCTCCATTTTTCCTTATTGTTCTTATCTCTTAAAATATTTGAGTGTGTTTGTTATGTTCACAACTTGAGTCCCAAATTTGATAAACTCACCCCTCGTACTCCAAAATGTCTTTCTTAGCTATTCTCGCACATAGAAGGGAGTCTCATTCCTACAATCTCACACTTCACAGATACTTCATTAGTGCTAATGTCAGCTTCACTAAATTGGTCCCTACTTCCAAGTTCATGTTCATCCCATGGACCTCGACTTTGACTAATCCCCTCCACCCCCCTCTTTCTTAGTTAATTTTGCACACAGAAAGGGTATCGTTAATACAGTCCCACACTTCGCAGATACTTCATTAGTGTTGATGTCACCTTCACTAAATTGATCCCTACTTCCAAGCTCCGGTTCATCTCATGGACCTTGACCTTGACTTTGAGCAATCCCCTCCACCCCCTCTTCCATTATCGTCCATCATTCCACTGCTTACTGTACTACCACCCGCTTTACCACTCTCGTCCTCTTCCATTATGCTCCATGTATACTCTCATCATTAACGACCATCGACTGAGGTGCCTCTAACGTCTTCATCGCCATTTTCTGATCCTAATCCCCCTGTTACTTCCAACTCTTTATTCATTGCTCTTTGTAAAGGTACTTAGTCGTTTGTTACTCACCATCCTATTACTAATTTTGTTTCTTATGATGCATTGTCACCTGCTTTCTCTTATTTTATATCTCAACAGTCTATTATCTCTATTCTTAAGACCTTATAAGCGCATTATCTAATTCGTATTGGAAGAAAGTTATGGAAGTGGAGATGAATGTCTTACATTATAATGGACTTGGGACCTTATTCCTTTAACCCTGGTAAAAAAGATAGTTGATTGTTGATGGGTGTACACTGTCAAAATTTAATCCTAATGATTTTGTTGAACGCCTCAAAACCCGACTTGTTACTAAGGGATTTACCCAAACCTACGGTATTAATTATGGAAAAACCTTTTCGCATGTTGCCAAAATATCTTATGTTCGTGTAATAATTTTTTTGGCTACTAATCTCTATTGGCATTTATTTCAGTTAGATGTGAATAATATCTTCTTACATGATGACTTGGTTGAAAAAGTGTGCATGAAGCAACCACCTAGGGTTACTGCTCAGGGGGAGTATCATAAGAGTGTCGGCTCAAGAAATCTTTGTATGGTTTAAAGTCATCACTGAGAAGATTTTGATCTTCTTAAATGTCAATAGGCCATTCTGTTTTCTACATACATACTAATTCCAGTACATTATACTGATTGTTTATGTGGATGATATTGTAATTACCGAAGATAATTCTGAGAGTATAGCAAAGTTGAAAGTCTTCCTGCTGGATCAATTTCATGCTAAAGACCTAGGCAAACTTAGGTGCTTCTTGGGTATTGAAGTTGCTATGCTGGATCAATTTCATGCTAAAGACCTAGGCAAACTTAGGTGCTTCTTGGGTATTAAAGTTGCTAGATCTACGCAGAATATTTGTTTATCTCAAAAGAAAATATGTACTTGACATGTTAGAGAAAACAGGTTAACTAGGTGGAAGACCAATCAATGTTCCTATGGATCCGAACCAAAAGCTATTGATGGATAATGGTGCATTATTTAAAAATTCAGGTTGGTATCGTAAGTTGGTCGGGAAGCTAAATTATTAAACTATTACCCCCATCATATATTGCATATGCAATTAGTGTTGTGAGCCAGTTTATAGGATTTCCTAAAATACCATATTAGGATACAATCATTCGCATTCTTAGATACCTTAAACGTGCTTGTGGACTTGGATTGTTGTATCGAGCCAATGGAACCTTAGAGTGGAAGATTTTACAGTTGTTCATTGACCTAGCTCTCCCTCAGATCGAAGATCAACTACTGGTTATTGTACTTTCTTGAAAGTAACATGGTTACATGAAAAAGTAAGAAACAAACATTGGTAGCAAAGTCTAGTGCCAAGGCTTGAGTATAGGGTAATGACGCATACCACTAGTGAGTTGACATGATTACGATATTTTCTTCAGTAGATTGGTTTTCCAGTCCAACATCTCTTACAGTTGTACTGTGACAATAAGGCAACCTGTCGCAATGCTACTAATCCGTTTCCATGAGAGGACCAATCATAGCGAAGTTGATTGTCACTTTATTCAAGACAAGATACTAAATGGAGATATTGTAACACCGTTTGTGAAATTTGAGGATTAGCTTGCAGATATGTTCACCAAAGTATTGAAATATACTCGTCTTACAACAATTTGTTCCAAGTTTTTATTATATAGCATATATACTAGAGGGGAGTGTTGAGATTATAATTATTATATTGTTTAAATTTAATAGGGTTGTAATAAGTATACCTCTAAGGGTATACTAGTATTTTATATTTTCCTAGGTAACTATAAATATAAGTTCAGAATGAGAGGTAGGTTAGAATTGACTACTCTCTGCCTCTCTCATATTTTGGTTTTCCTCTCCATTCTCTAAACTTAACACCTCTATATCCTTAAAACACTTTCAATATATAATTATATCCGAACTTGAAACTCACTGCTTTCCAAATTTGTGATCTGACATGCTTCTAACAGCCATGATCCAAACTGACACCGCTATAGCTGTTCTATCGAATACTAAATTACATACCATTTATCGATCTAGATAAGTGGCAAATTTTATGTCAGGTACCCTAATTCCATTAAAATGCCTACTACCCCAAAATGTCAAACCAAGTGCTAAGTTATCTAACCATAAGTTCTGTGTATCGTAATTATTTATTAATCTCAGAGAAGTATAATAAATATACAAAATAAGAAGCGAGACAGTTGGGTATATTTTCCTACAACCTTGGTCGCAAATTGGTGGTTATAATAACATCAAGAAAATTGAACACAAAAGGCAGTGAACAGACATGCAAGAATACTATTTTGGCTTACAGGAATTGGAACTTTGGACTCTTTAAACAAAGGTTTATAATCAGCAGGAGCCTTATAACTTGGATTCAGCTCTAGTATTTCACCTGGAAATTGTCAAGAATACAGTCAGAACGCCACATATAATTGCAAACAAAGAGAACAATCTATAAAAGTATGTAAGCGTACCAATAGCTTCACGCCTTTCGAGTTCCAATAGTTCTGACTCCTACATCCACAGATTTCAATGTAAGTTTTTGGAAGCTAAAACCCTTGCATAATAATTAACATACCCCAAAAAAGTGATTTTACCTCATTACTAATATGTTGACCTGAAGACTCATAATCCATCATCTGGGATGCTGATGGTGAGGCTAAATTTTCCGCCATCTCCAACTTTCCTGAGTTTAGCTTTCGTGTAATTTGATCCACCCGAGTCTGCTCAAATTTTGTGCCATCACACAGGCAGCAATGTCAATTAGTGGCACCAAGAAGGGGATGCAAGCCATTACATGGAAGACACGACATTTTAGCACCCAAAGGCAGAAATAAAATATTCCTCCCACAGATTGAAGCTAAAAATGCAAATAACTCATTCACAAAAATTTGAATTTGTAATAGCTAAGTGAATGTCCAAAAGGTAGGTAACAGAAAAGAGAACTATTTTAGTAAAAAAAAAAAAAGATAAAAAAAATCTTGTAGAATATATGGTAATGGAAGCATAAAAAGACGCAATATAGATCATAACTTGCAAAGAATTCCCACATACCTGATAAGCTAAAGCTCTTCCCTTTCTAACAGCAGCATCCTGTGTCAGATCAGGGCCCCATTTAGTTTTCCGCTGCACCTGTTTAGCACTTTCTTCATTCACCACCTCACTACCACCTGGCTTTTTACCCCCACGGAAGATAGGAATCAATGAACCTGATAATTTGTTTCTCGGTATTACAAATCCAGTTTTTTTCACAAACATAGAACTCTTGGATGCACTTGTTGATGGTGTAGCTGTTACAGCAGTCTGAATAGCAGCAGATGCCTGCTCAATTTTCGTGCTCATCTTGCTTTCCAAGCACACTTCCCCAATTGCTTACTGTAATTTACAAACTTTGAGAAGTTAAGCCACAGTTAAGAATCAACCTTAGGGGTCTCAGTATGAAACTATTCATGGCTCAGACTAAAGTCGCCAAACATGCATAAGAAATATTTTTTTTTGAATGAAAACCCCAGATTTCATGACAGATTCAAACAGTGATTGCAAATGGTAGCGTTATGATTATTATAGACCCAAGTTGTCAAAAATATGTAACGCAACGCACATCGTCTTTTAAAAAATAATGTATCGTATACCATATCTATCGTAATCTTAGAAAAACGTATTAAGAAATAATCTATACTATTTATACATGTCAGCATCTGTGAAAACTTTTGATTTCTTATTTTATTATAATAAAGTCAATTATACCCACCAATATATATACTTTCATCTAATTTTTGTTTTTTTACGCCTATTTGACTTTCAACTTGTTTACACTTTTTTATAATGACTTCTAAATTCTTTTAAACTCATTTATTAGTAGTATAGTTACATACAATTTTCTATATCTATATAGAAGTAAATGATAAACTTTGGATTTCTTATTTTAACCCTAATTATTATAATAAAATCCATTATACCCACTAATATATATACTTTCATCTAATTTTTGTTTTTTACTCCTATTTGACATTCAACTTATTTTAAACTCTTTTATAAGGACTTTTAAATTCTTTTGAATTCATTAATTAATTGTACAATTACATACAATTTTTTATATCAATATGAAGAAGTAAAATCGTATATATATGTTAAATTATTATACAAATATAGTTATCAAATTGAATTCCATGGTCAATATATATATATATTATTTTATTTTATTTTTTGGCATACAATAATATAATAGTATTATAAGCAATCTAATCAATCTATTTTAAAAAATAAAAATTAATAATTCTATAATATAATTAGTGTCCAAATGCCTAAAAAGGTCGGAGAGATACCTAAATAAATGACAAATTAGGTATTCAAAGTTTTATAGAATAAATTAATAATTAAATTTTAGTAATAATTAAAATCTAAATTAATAATTTGACTTTTAATTTATTATTTAATTTAATTACATATATAATTTCATATTTTTATAAAAAAAATATTATTTAAATTTATTTACGTGCAACACACGTCGTGCATTATTAGTACTATTAATAAAAGTGCTTTAAGATGAAAAACTTTTGAATCTCTATTGAAAAGGTCAATCTATCCTTTTGCAAATAAATATTTAAATTATCTTCATATCCTTATATATTTAAATTTCTAAATTATCTATAACATATCTTTTAATTATCTATTTTCTATGTATAAATATTAATTTCTATAATAAAAATTTGATTGACTATATTACGCTTAAAAAATATGCACCATTATATTTTCAATAAAGTGTTCAAAAAATTTTTAAAACTCTATCAATCTAATATTACTCATATCATATGCAAAGATAGCATTATACCTATATATGTGTATTTTTTTTATCAAAAAGTTTAATCCTTTTATTTTTAAGTTGAAATATAATTGTATATTTAGTTTTTTTAAATCAATTTATGTTACACAGTATAATTCTTTAGTCATAATAAATTTTTTAAGTTGTACTAATATTCTATGTAAAAATAGATATTACATTATACTTTTCAACAAAACTTGAATTTTTTAAAATTTTAATTTACTTGATAATATATATTATAGAGTAGTACATAAAATATTATCTCAATTGACCTAACTAATTCCTAATTAAAATAAGGTTCCAATGTGATTAGAAATAAGCACATAGTCTTCATTTAGTATTGGACTAGCATGCTAACATTACAAATTCCATCAGTTTGGATTGGATTTGTAGTGCACACTCCTAAATTGAAAGTGGGCATGAAAAAGAATTGTCAAAAGAAACTTAAATATAAAAAGACAAAGTTTCCCTTGCAGTCTTTGAAAAAGAAAAAAAAAACTTAATACCCACTTGGCCCTCACCCCTCCAATCAACACATCCAGCAACTCCACCACTACCCTTTGCCCCCCGTCTCTCTCTCTCTCTCGGACTTAGACGTATCTTCCCTTCTCTTTCACACCTTTCCTCTCTATCTCTCTCTCTCACACACGCACAGAGATCCCCAGCAGAGCATCTATCACAAAATGCAGCCCTTGCATCAGCCTAGATCCACCTCAGAGTAACTCCACCATCGATAGCCACACGGGTGAAGTGCAAACATACCATCGCACGGAGCAATCCGTCGACAGTATAGACGGAGCAAATCTCTTGAGCAACTTCACCGTCAATAACAATGGGACAGAGCAACTTCATCCCAATTTCAGAATTTCAACAGCAAACAAACAGCATTAAATTCATTCACAATTTCTACCAAATTGGGTCCAATTTCAACACATCGCAATTTCACAATGTCATGAATTGGGTTTGATTTCTAACAGTTCACAATTTTACAGTTGCCATTCAATTTCTACCAATCACATTTTGACTAATTGGGTTAGAATTTGTTACTTTTTTTTGTTGGTTTGAATAGGGGTTATTTTGGTGGTGGTGGTGGTGGTGGTGGTGGTGCATAGTGGTGCACAGTGGGGGAATAGTGGATGTAGGCAGGTGAGGTGGTGCAAGTGGTGCACAATTGGGTGGTGCAGATGGTGAGAGTGGTCCACAGTTGGGTGGTGGAGGAGGTGCGCCATGGTGTAATGGTGGATGTGGGCAGTGGAGTGGAGTGTTTGTGGGGATTGTGTCGCGAAATAAAAGAAGAGAGGAATACAATGAGGGGTAGGAGTGTCTTTTTCCTGTCTCCGGTAATGGTGTTAGCCATTTATTTTAGTCCAATATTACCTGGGGGTGAAAAGAAGTTTGCCCATAAATATATAGTGTCCAAAATAATACAAATACCATTTCAACTCATTTCTCTTTCAATCCTTCATCCTTGTAACATAATATTTTCTATTTGAAGAAGAAGAAGAAGAAACGGCAAACGCAGACGCAGATCCTAGAAGAAGACAATAGTAGGCTTTATTTGTTTGACATCAAACCAAAAAGAAAGAAACAACATATAGGAAATGATGTTTCACTGTTTAGGGTAAAAAAAAAGTCTTGTGAAATACTATCATTTCATTGTTTAGAGTAAAAAATTAAAAAAAAAAGATCATGTTCATATTGGTTTTTTCACTTTATCAAAATGTATTGCAAGAAATGTATTGCTTATCGTATCACACAAAGAAAAAACAATACGACTCATTAATACCTATCTCTTTTCCACTGTATTGTAACGCACTGTAAGATACATACCAAGTATCGTAAGATACTAACAACTATGTTATAGAACAGAATTGTCTAGTTTTTGTTATCAAATTCCTAAGGACAAATTTCATTTTTGGCTAACCTCAAGTTTGCACATCATCTACTTCGGTCTCTAAAGTACCAATTTTTGCAATTTCATCCATGACGTTTCCACTTGATATTTAAATGGTTAAATCCATCATGAAGATTAAACAAGTAATGGAACACTATCATGTGTGCCTACATGCTTACAATACAGTGGTGTTCTGCTCGAAAAATAAAAAAGGTCCCAACTCAAAGTCGGGTAAAATCTAACCCACTAGTGAAAACTATGATACATGTCAACTTTGACCCATCAAATTCTTCTTCTTCTTCTTTTGGTGGTCCACCTCTAGCCCAATCCCACGCCACCCCATCGCTCCCATCCCCAACCCAACCTAACCTTCCCACTCCATTTATAAACAAAAACACATCGAAACACGTAAGAATGTTTCCAAGCACAATATTATAAAACCTATTTCCAAACACAAGATACAATCTCTTTGTCTCTCCCTATACTTTACTCTCTATCTGTACATTCAACTCCTCTTTCTATGCTTGGACACCATGACAATGGCCATTTTGCTTTCTTCTTGTGGAGTGTTTACTCTCTTTCCTCCATCCCAACTTGATGCAGCAAATTTTGTATCAAAGCATAATTCAATCCATGCCTATAGCTAATTATGGTCAAGGAGAATATGGAGAAAGAGGACAACAAGCCCAAATCGCAGAATGGCAGATAGGACAGATGATTGAGGATTTCGCACCAATTGTGCCAGTTCTTAAGTGACAAGAAGATCCAATGACCCATATGGAGGTACTAGAGGGAAATCATATTCTTTTAGGGATATTGAAAGGTCACCACGAGGATGAAGAAGAGATTGATCTGAAGATATCAACCCCTTTCACGAAAAAAAGTGGCAAGAGAAGTACATTCTGGGGTAGGGTTGGAAGAGAGATTGGTTCGAGCACTTGATTTAGACGATGCATGAATACAATTGAGGTTGCTTAGGTTTTTTGCAGGTTGCACGTCAAAGCTTATTTGGATTAGGAAGCGAGTTTAGAGAATTATGTTGAATGAAAACCAAGGACAAAGAAAAGAGAAGAGAAAACATTGTTTACAATGCTTAAGTTGAAGGGCAATGCACTTCAATGGTTAAAGAAGTACACGGGCATTGTTCCCAACAAGGCAAGCAAAAAAAATACCACGTGCCAGCAAATGAAATCAGAGTTGCGAAAGCAATTTTTGTGGCCTAATTATGCGATGGAGTTATATGAGATGTTTCATTCATTGAAGCAACAAAATATGACAGTGGAAGAGCACACTTCACAGTTTAATAGTAGCTCTGATCGAGTTGGTTTAAATGAGAGCAACAAACCGATGACATCTTGTTAACTCTCTAGTTTAATGAGCCCATTATGGAGGAGATAGGAATAATTCGCTTGTTTAACCTAAAAGATGCTTGACAACATGCCTTAATGGCTGAAAAGAGGGTTTGGCATTACAGCGCTAGAAGACCTATTATGGAAGGTGCTAGAGATGCAATTCCAAGAACCATAAGAGCTTGCACGAATAGGCCAAAGGACAGAGCTGAGGCTGCCACACTTGATCGAGCAAGAAGAAGCAACAACAATGGTGCTAGTAAGGTTGAAATGGGGA